CCTGACCCCGGGGCCGACTCCGCCGCGGACCCCTCCCCTGGGCCTGGGTCGCTGGTCGTCTTGTTCGGAGCCACGGCCGGTGCGCTGGGGCCGGACCTGGGCTCCGACGAGACAGACTTAATTCTCCTAGTCTGGCAAGTGGTGGAGCCGCGGAGCTGCCAGGTAGGGTGAGAAGGAAGCGGTGGGGGTTCTCTGGGAGTTTCAGGGCGCGAGGGACGCGGCAGCTGAGCGGTGTCCCCCGCGGCTCCCAGGTGGGGACGCTGCACAAGTCGCTGGTTCGCGCCGAGGCGGCCGCACTGACTCCGCAGTGCCGCGAGGCGAGTGGCCTGAGCGCCGACAGCCTGGCGCGGGCAGAACCGCTGGACAAGGTGCTGCAGCAGGTGAGCGCTGCGGCCGGGGTGGGTGGCCGCCCAGCCCGGCCGCGAGGACATTTCTGGGCAGGAGAGGCGGCAAGAGGCCAGGCCTGGCGCGCCGCAATAAACTAGCCCGGGCGGTAGGACGGGGTCTTATTTGAAACTTTGAGCGACTCCTGCTTGTGCTTGTGTCCGCGTGCCGGCCATTCCCGGGGCGCCTTACTTTTCCACCTTTACAGGCACCCACTCCTACTGAGGGGGTGGGAACGCAGCGTGTTGGATTCTCCCCCGAGTTCCCGGCCGCCTGGAGAACCAAGCTGAGACGCCTCTGGGAACCTGCCGGGTCAGGTCTCCCAGAGCTGCAGCCGGAAGTGAAAGGGTCCAGGGGCCTAGTCTTGGCTACAGGTCACCGGTTCTTGCCGCCCGCGTCCTCTGCCCGCCTGGGAGCCGCTGGAGCGGAGGCGTAGGGCGGTGTCTGCCTCAGAGGCAGACGCCGCCAGGTGTAAAGCTGCCCGTCTAGGCCTGTCCCGGACGACTGGCCAGGCGTGGGCGCCGTACAGACCTCGCCTGGGGGGTAGCTGCCTGCTGAGTGCTAGGGCCTGGTGCCTCCCACCCCTGGCTGAAGTGGAAGGCGGTTTCCATTGCTGTTTTCTTTTCCTTATCTTCACTACCATGTTCACCCTGTGCTTGAGTGTATTGAGTGAAAGTTTTTTACACGTACAAATTCTTCCAATGATTCTGGTGAGGAAACACAAAGATGCTGAATTGAGTGTTTCAGAAGGGCTCCTGGCCTCCTCAGCATTTGGGGAGTTTGCTGGAGGAGAGCTGGGTTGCCTTGCTCTGCCAGCTTCAGGATGTCAAGTGTCACAAAATTGCAGAGAGTGGGGGTGGGGCTGGTGGATCTGTGATTAGTGCCTCTACCCCTTCTCCAGCGGGATCGAGGCTGGGGGAGGGGCTGGGCAACCTCAGGAGTGCCACCTCCTCTCTGAACAAACAACTCAGTGCCAGCCGGTCGATATGGTGTGGGTCAAAGCTCAGGCTGCCTCTGGTGTCCAAGTGTGGAGCTCTGTCCTTGGAGTTTCTCTGTCCCTCGGTTGGACAGACCGGGAGGCGGGGCTGCCATTGACCATGAGCTTTCTGGGTCTCAGACAGGTCTGGACCTCCCCTACCTGTCTGAAGGTGGTGCCCGGTCAGGGACAGGTTTAACCTGCTTTACCCCACCCCTTTTCACCTGCTTGTCCCACTCCATCAGGTGTTTGCTCTGGCCCCACTCCAGACTCCTGGAGTATGTGCGATGGGGGCTTGGGTTATGTGTGACTGCCCTTATTTGGCCTGGAGGAGGTGACAGTGGACTGGGACAGGGGTGAGGGGGTAACGGGTGGGACAGAGGGCCAGGCCCAGAAGGCTTGCCCTTCTCCTCCCCAGGCAGGGTAGGGCTGAACATCTGGTTGAACCAGCTTTGCAGCCTGTGTCCTTCCTCCTCCTACCCCAGTTCCTGCTTGCCCAGCTGTGAGACTGTGTCTGTCTCTCCCCACTCCCTGTCCCCAGTTCTCACAGCTGGTGAGCGGGGATGTGGCCCTGCTGGGCGGTGGCTCCTATGTGCTCTGCACTGATGGGCAACAGCTGTTGCGACAAGTCCTGCACCCTGAGGCCTCCAGGAAGGTATGCCACAGAGGGCATGGGGTGGGGAGGTAGGGTTCCCAGGAGCCTGTTGTCATGGGAGTTGGCAGGGCACCTTAGTTACCCCATTCATCCCCACCCGTGTCCCCCCAGAACCTGGTGCTCCCGGACAGCTTCTTCTCCTTCTACGACCTCCGCAGAGAGTTCCATATGCAGCACCTGAGCACCTGCCCTGCCAGGGACCTCACCGTGGCCACCATGGCACAGGGTATCTGTGACCTAGCATGGTTAGGGTGGAGGGGCAGCTGCAGGCTCTGTGTGTCTGAGTGTGTGCATGCTGATGGGTAGGTTATATGAACACATACAAGTCTGCATTATCTTCTGAGTCCTTGAATCTTTGTGTCTGTGTTTGTTTGGAATGTGGGCCTATGTCTACATATGTCTGGGCTGGGGACTTGTAAGTGCACACATGAACTGGGCCAAAGCAAATGTGTATGCTGGGCTTCTACATGTGTCCATGGAGGGGACTTTGACCCAGGTGTGAACAGGATTAGTGCCTATGCTGGGTGTCCCAGGCCTCTCATGCTGGGATTTCTTCATTGTCACTTCTCTGCCCATAGACTTAGGACTGGAGACAGATGCCACAGAGGATGACTTTGGAGTCTGGGAAGTGAAGACAATGGTAGCTGTCATCCTTCACCTGCTCAAAGGGCCCAGCAGTAAGGTCCCTCACTGCCTGTCACCTGCTCTCAGGGCTGGGTGAATGCCTGCTTTTTACTTCCTCAAAGTACTCCCCACTCATGACCTTCTCTAAGAGACCATAAGGTGGAAGCCCCTTTGCCACTTCCTCATCACCTTCAACTGTCCTCTTTTTGCAGAACTTGGTGGGGAGACCCCCCCCCACCAGATCCTGCTGACCCTCATATCGTCTCCTCTCAGGTCAATTATTTTTGAAGCCTGAGGTGATAAAGCAGAAATATGAGACGGGGCCTTGGTGAGTGTGGGAGCAGGGGCGGGGTTGACAACAGCTGGACAGCTCTGATGCTGTGCCCTGCCCCCACAGCAGCAAGGCTGATGTGGTGGACAGTGAGACTGTGGTACGGGCTCGTGGATTGCCCTGGCAATCATCAGACCAGGACGTGGCTCGCTTCTTCAAAGGGCTCAACATTGCCAGGTGAGTGTGGCAGGATGGGTGAGCCCAAGAGGACAGGCCTACCCAAGAGGCCCTAACAGCACTGACTCCACAGGGGTGGTGTAGCACTCTGCCTCAATGCTCAGGGCCGCAGAAATGGCGAGGCCCTCATCCGCTTTGTGGACAGCGAGCAGCGGGACCTAGCACTGCAGAGACACAAGCACCACATGGGCATCCGCTACATTGAGGTGGGGCTTTGGGCTAGGAGTGGAGCAGGGCAAAGCTGAGCTAGGTCTGAGACCCATGGGCTGTCCCCTCTGTACCCACAGGTATATAAAGCGACAGGGGAAGAGTTTGTAAAGATCGCAGGGGGTGAGTATGTTCCCAGCAGGGCCTACTTCCCCTGGTTCTTGGCCCATAGCTACTTCCCCACCACTCCCTGCCTCTCGGCTTCCCTGTGTGGGTGGGTGTTTGGAAGACCCTGCGTGAAATCACCAGGTGACTCCCATACCCCCTGCCCAGGCACATCACTAGAGGTGGCTCGATTCCTGTCACAGGAAGACCAAGTAATCCTGCGGCTGCGGGGACTGCCCTTCTCAGCTGGGCCAACAGACGTGTTAAGCTTTCTGGGGCCAGAATGCCCAGTGACGGGGGATGCTGACGGGCTGCTCTTTGTGCGCCACCCCGATGGCCGGCCAACCGGTGATGCCTTTGCTCTCTTTGCCTGTGAGGAGCTGGCACAGGCTGCACTACGCAGGCACAAGGGCATGCTGGGTAAACGATACATTGAACTCTTCCGTAGCACGGCAGCTGAAGTGCAGCAGGTGAGCACCCAGGACTCCCTACCCCGATGTATAGTTTCTCCAGGGTGGTCCTTTGGTCCCCTGTGCCCCTGCCCTACTTGTCATGACCAGCATGTTGCTGCCTTCCTTCCTAGGTCCTGAATCGCTATGCATCCAGCCCACTCCTTCCCACACTGTCTGCCCCACTGCTGCCCATCCCCTTCCCACTGGCAGCTGGGACTGGGAGGGATTGTGTACGCCTTCGAGGCCTGCCCTACACAGCCACCATTGAAGACATCCTGAGCTTTCTGGGGGAGGCAGCAGCTGACATTCGGCCCCACGGTGTACACATGGTGCTCAACCAGCAGGTGAGACCGCTGCTGCTAGGGGGCACACGTATTTAGGAAGGGGGTGTGTATAAGGGGTAAGCCATTCTCACACAGGACAAACTGCTCACAAGATGGTGTGCACAGGGCCGGCCATCGGGCGATGCCTTTATCCAGATGACATCAGCAGAGCGGGCCCTAGCTGCTGCTCAGCGTTGCCATAAGAAGGTGATGAAGGAACGCTACGTGGAGGTGGTCCCCTGTTCCACAGAGGAAATGAGCCGTGTGCTGATGGGGGGCACGTTGGGCCGCAGTGGCATGTCCCCTCCGCCCTGCAAGCTGCCCTGTGAGTGCCCCAGGGGCTGGGGAAGAAGGAGGTCTGTGGGGATCAGGCTGTTATAAGCCCCCATTTTCTCTAGCAGGAATTCCTTTATGGCTGCTCCACCTGGGGTAGTCCTGGGCTCCATGTAGATGCACTTTGTATTTGTCTGTAGGTCTCTCACCACCTACCTACGCCACCTTCCAGGCCACCCCAACACTTATTCCCACTGAGACGGCAGCTCTATACCCCTCTTCAGCACTGCTCCCAGCTGCCAGGGTGTCTGCTGCCCCCACCCCTGTTGCCTACTACCCAGGGCCAGCCACTCAACTCTACATGAACTACACAGCCTACTACCCAAGGTATCCTGCAGCTAAGAAAACTCCACAGTTCCACTCTCTGTCCTGGTGTGGGGGAGGGGTAACCCAAGGTCTGTTGATTAGACTTGAAATGACAAAGGAGTAACAGGTACCAGCTGGTTGCTGCCATCTACAACACAGATTGGAGGTGATTGTAAAGGCAGGGGTGTCAGGAAGGAAGAACTAACCTAAGCACAAGGCAGAGGCAAGGGAGGAGGCAGGCAGGTCTTGGTCTAGGCTACAGGTAGGATGCATGACTAAACCCATCTCTCCCATCCTAGTCCCCCAGTCTCCCCCACCACCGTGGGCTACCTCACCACACCCCCTGCTGCCCTGGCCTCTGCTCCCACCTCAGTGTTGTCCCAGCCAGGAACCCTGGTCCGCATGCAGGGTGTCCCATACACGGCTGGTATGAAGGATCTGCTCAGCGTCTTCCAGTCCTACCAGGTGAGACTGTGGCTGGAGGGCTTGAGGGCCTGGCTGAGCTTGGAGCTCTCTGCTCTAAATCTGTCCCTTCTGCAGCTACCCCCTGATGACTATACCAGTCTGATGCCTGTTGGTGACCCACCTCGCACGGTGTTACAAGCCCCCAAGGAGTGGGTGTGTTTGTAGGTGAGGAAGCCAGTGGGTAAGAGCTAGCTGATGTCCTCAGCTAGCATGCCTCTACTGTGTTGAGGAATTGTGAACTCAACTGGTGACTTCTTTCTGGCTTGTCAAAGCTCTTAGAGGGCATCTAGAAGAACCCAAGTCCCAGCTCCACCCTCCACTTATTTCTCTGCCTGTTTACCCCAAAGACGATGGTTGGGCCCTGCACGCAAGGCTGGGGTGGAATGGGGTTATCCTGTGCCTCATAGCCCCTTGAGTGGCACAAGGATAGCCCTTTGGACTGTTCTGGCTGTGGCCTGTGCCCACAGATATTGTGGGACTGACAGGTCCACAACAGGGTTGATTTCTAAAATGAAAGCTCTGGTACTGTCAGTGTATGACTCCTGGGCGAATCAAGGGTTCATCTGTGCTTCTGAGTCAAGATCCCAATGTTCTACCTCTCCCTGTCCCTCTGGTGGGGGGCAGGGAGCCACAGAAAGCCAGCCCCCACCCTCAGGATACTTGGACCTCAGAGACCATGTTTTGCCAGGCGTGGTGGTCCCACCTAGGATGCTAGCCCCTTCCAGTTGGGCACAAGGAATAACAACAGATGGCAAAACCAGAAGCTGTTTTGATGGACTGTGCTGCAGTATCCTCAGAAGACACTAGGGGGCAAGAGGCCCCCACACAAAAACTCAGGCTTGACCTTTTAAAGGAGACTTTCTGCCACCTTCTCATGTATGCCTTGGGAAGGCCAGTTGTCCTATACATACCACCAGACACCGTGGAATGTCCATTGCACCCATTAAAGGTGCAGAACTGAAGCCTCCGAAGGAATTTGGGACTCTTTTCTTCCATAAAATAAACCAAAGTTCCTGACCAAGTGGACTTTTTAAAAGCCGCAGTACCCTTAGCTTTGCCCCCAGAATTGAGGGGCTCCACAGCAGCCCCAGGCGGAGGAAAACTCAGAGATTAAGGAGACTGTTGACCTGTCACCGTTTATTATTTCAGCACTATAACTGAGGAGCCTGAACTGCTGGCTCTTCCCTTTGTATTTGTGTATGGAGCACTGCACTCCTATAAAAGGTTTTAAAATACAAAATGAACAAGAAAACACAATAGCAAGTGCTGTAAACATAACTGAGAAGCAGCTCCTTTACTAAACATCCATTTTATAAAATACAAGGTTTCAACTTGAGCCCATCTGAGCCTTAAAGATGTGTTTTGAATATCAAAAACAGCTTCACAGCCAGGCCCAGCAGAGGTCTGGTGACAGGGGCTGGCCCTGGGTGGGAGTGCGCCACAGGCAGCAGCACCACACATGAACCCGAAGACATCTTCCTTTTAAAGCTGTTTTCAACCATGTTTCTCTGTGCATCTCCAGTAGGCAGAAGGCTACTCATTCCATTCCTCAACCCAAGATCTAACATGGGTTGGAGAGGGAAAGGGTTCTTGCTAGCACATGCCCAGTTGCTCAGTGCTGCTACTAGAAATCAACTTGCATAGTCCAGTGGACATGTGCTTTTAACACCACTATGTTGCACAAAAATTTAAGTCTTCATCTACAAAGCCAAAAAATACTGACTCTTATACCAAAGCTTTTTAACAAAGCTGATATAAAACTGCTTACATAGTACACAAAGCTCTACTTTAAAATTTAACTTTTATTTTAAATAGGAAAGCATTTCTAGTGCTACAGGCATCAAGGTATTTAAAAGGCATCAAAATTTGGTGCATAGCAACTCTGGATCATAGAGGCTTTTATTCTTGAGGGCAGCAAAGCAACCCCCAAAGGGTCTTGCAAGGGGAGCACTTGCAGGAATCCCATGTGAGGCAGCTATACCAGGGGCAAAAGGGTAGAGGCAAGTCTGATCATGTCTTTGGAACTTCACCTGAGAGGCCAACTTCCTGCCCCTCCAAAGGAAGCTGTGGGCTTCCAACCACAGGCCCAGAAGCAAATCTCACTATCCACATTCTGACACAAAACTCACTTTCAAAGAAAATTTGAAAACACCAGCTCCAAGAGGGGCCAGAGTGATTTGCTAAAGGATGGATACTTTTGTCTAACTAGTTTCAGGAGAGGAATCTAAAAAATCTTTTTTTATTTTTGTTTATAAAGACCAGCCAGGCGAGGTGGCTCACACCTATAATCCCAGCACTTTGGAAGGCCAAGGTGAGAGGATTGCCTGAGCCCACAAGTTCAGTACCAGCCTGGGCAACTTGGTGAGACCTCATCTCTACAATAAATAAAAAAATTAGCCGGGCATGATGGCACATGCCTGTAGTTCCAGCTACTTGGAAGGCTGAGGCTGAAGGGTTACCTAAGCCTAGTAGGTCGAGGATACAGTGGCCATGAGCATGCCACTACACTCCAGCCTGGGCGACAGGGTGAGAACTCCAACTCAAAAAGTAATAATAATAAATAAAGACTATACTTCCTCATCCTGGGTCAACAACTACTACCCTGCTGGCAACAGGTGGTGGGCAACAGGCCAGCCCCCTTGCTCAGGCCTGAAGTGAACTCAGTAGATAGTCCTGGCATCTAGGACCTGTAATCCCCTGGAATAACAGCATCAAGCCTTCAACCAGCCCAGCACATGGTTTCATATATAGGCACTCAAAAAAGTCTGCTGAGTAAGTGAAAGTACATTATTTCATTTGAAAACATACAGCAAATGTCAGGGGCTTTGAAGTAGACCCAGGAATAGGTAATAAATCTCACTAGAGGGAGGAGTGAATGCAGGGTTTTTTAAAAGTACCCAACTCGGGCACCTCCTTTGGTAGACAGCAGGCTGGAGTTTCTGCTGGGCCCTGCCTTGGGTGCCAGTCTCACCAGCAGCAGCAACAGGGTGTCTTTGGTGGAGGGTCAGGTCATCATTTTTGAATGTGCTCAAAGCCTTTTGGAGAAAAGGCTGGTTTTTCAGGTCATACAGACAGGACAGGGTAGGCTAGAATCATTTCGAACTGTAAACAGAATGGTGGGGGATAAACCTTCCATGCCAGTATGAATCTTAAAAACCTTCCCATCTGGAGTCCTACACTTTCTCTAACCATACTGATGCATAGCTCATTTGTGCTTTAGCTCCTGACCAGCCTGGCCTCTAAAGGCAAATTGCAAAGCTGCCAAAACCACCATGAGACTGTGTGGCTTCAAAGGTTACAAAACATGTATCTCAGCCTGTAATCCCAGCACTTTGGGGGGGGGGGAAGGGCGAGAGGACTGCCTGAGCCCAGGGGTTTGAGACCAGCCTGGGCAACTTTGTGAGATCTCATCTCTACAATAAATCAAAAAAATTAGCTGGGCATGGCAGCGTGTGCCTGTGGTTCCAGCTACTTGGAAGGCTGAGTCAGAAGTATCACCTAAGCCCAGCAGGTCAAGACTGCGGTGGCTGTGAGTGTGCTACTGCACTCCAGCTTGGGTGACAAGAGTGAGGCTTCAACTCAAAAAAAAAGAAAAGTAAAAAGGTTACAAACTATCCAAGGGAAAATGTTCCCATTTGAAAAAAAAGTTCTGGGACCAGAAGACACAAGAGTACTCCATAACCTACTAGTTTTTAGGATGTCAGGAAATGAAAGCAAAAAGCTAAAACTCCACCCTTTAAAGTCATCTTAAATGCAGCCATCTTATCCAAGGTCCTGAGGGGAAAAAAAGCAATTTCAACATGGAACCAGTATGGAGAGATTGCAGGATGGTACACAGAAAGTTATAAAAAGGCTATGCTCTGGAATGTCTTTTTATATTCCAACACTTCAATGATGGAATGGTCTCATCTCATTTTATCTAACAGTTTACTTTTATAAAGAGGTATGAGCTACATTTGGCTTTATTTCCTATGAATCTATGAAAGTCTTCAGGACACATTCTGAATTTATGAGGTGTGGGATTGGGAAAATTTTTGTTTGTTTGTTTGCTTCTGGAAGGTCTTATCAAAAGTTCCTATTTTAAAAATATCATTGAAACTAAAGGGTTCTTCAAATGACCATAAAGCAGTACAAATCACCAATCCTAGCTAAATAACCAGGTCACCTGCAAAAGCAGCACCTCAGAAATGGAGAGCCTGCTGCAGTCACACTCAAAGCACCCATCATATAAAAGTATCCTATTTAAATATAAAAATCAAAGCTCAATTTCCCAAAGCTCAAATAGCCTGTACTGCTTCTGTTCTTTTACAAAATCTACCCAAGGCCTAAGGTAGAGAAATGCTGCTTTCCTCACAAATGGTGAATCCAACTCCTGGCACCAGTCCTGAAGGCTGCAGGGTTGGAAACCCAAGGTCCAAGGAGAGAAACATGCTGATAAGTTGGTGGTGGACAAATGGCTGCAATGAGCACTGTTAGAGCTCGTCAGATCTTCCTAGATCCAGGGACTCGGTACCCAGGAGGGGAGCCTGTCTGCTCACCCCTGTTCCTTGGGAAACAGAAATCTGGGACATATCTCTCCCAATTATCTCGTTCACTGAAAAACAAGAAAAGAATGATTAGTGACCTCTGAATGACTAACAATATGATGCTCAAAGCAGAGCTCTACCTTAGCCATTTCCTTTCCCGTGGCTTTCTGTAAAGGTAAAGGCAGTGCTTGAAGACTGCTCCTGGCTGAGTGGCATTGAAGATGGAAACATCATTTCACAAGATAAGTATTCACCTCAATTTGCCTTTTCATTAATTTGCATACCTTTGGGAAAGTTTTCCTCTTCTGATTTCTGCAGTGCCACTTCATATGTAAAGTGAATGAAAATAAATGCTTCGGTCAGAGTAAAACACTGAGCTTTGGGGATAATTTTATTACTCTATTGCAGTACAAGCACCCTTTATTATGTGGAACATTTCTATTGTGAACCTTTCTGGTTGCAGGCTCTTGCATTTCTGTGGTTTCTCTGATGTGCCAAGCACCTCAGGGAGCACAGGGCTCTGTGAGGTCCAGTGCATAGAATTTCCATCTTATGGAACTAATATAAAAGGGAACATCCCAAATCCCCCAAATAAGAATCTTTCATTCTCACAACATTTTATGCCTTGCTTTTTCAACTAAAGAGTCTATTACTACTTCCATCCTAGGCATATATACAAGAGACATGAAAACATATACCCACATTAATAACTTGTACTCAAATGTTCACAGCAGTGTTATTCATAATAGTCAAAAAGTGGAAACAACCCAAATACTGACTAAGTAATGAATGGATAAAATGTGTTCTCTATCCATAAAATGAGATAATCAGTCTTGAAAAGGAATGAAGTTCTGGTACATGCTACAACATGGATAAGCCTTGAAAATAATAAGCCAAATGAAAGAAGCCAGACACAAAAGGTCATATATTGTGTGATTCCATTAATATGAAATGTCCAGAACAGGCCAATCCAGAGAGACAGAAAATAGATTACTGGTTGTGGGGGAGCGAAGAATACAGAGTGACTCCAGATGGGTTTGGAGTTTCTTTTCAAAGTAATGAAAGCAGAGTTCTAAAATTAGATGGTAGTAATAGATGCACAGCTCTGACTGTACTAAAAACCACTGAATTGTATACTTTCCAGGATGAATTTTATGGTATGTGAATTATATTCAACATAGCTGTTACAAACAAAAACAGGCCAACAAATTCTATACTTAGAATTTGATGTGATCACAGAGCAAAGAGATGCCATCAAAAATTTTAAAAATCTTAAAAGTATTAGTCTAATCTTTTTATAGTTTAAATAGTTAAGAAAAAAATATTCAAACTCATGTATCAGTGGTTCCCAACCATTTTGGCCATCAGGGACCAGTTTCGTGGAAGACAATTTTTCCATGGACTAGGGTGAAGGTGGGGGGTGGGGGTCAGGCATTAGATTCTCATAAGAAGTCTGCAACCTAGATTCCTCGAGTGCGCAGTTCACAATAGGGTTAGCACTCCTATCAGACTCTAATGCAACTGCTATGCTTGCCCACCACTCACCTCCTGGTATACGACCTGGTTCCTAACAGGCCATGGGCTGGCACCAATCTGTGAGCCAGGGGTTGGGGACCCATGTCATATACTCATATGGGTATAAGAAAGGAATTAATATTTATTCCCTTCACACTTATTGGGCATCTATGGATTATTTCAGTTAATCTTTTCAACACCTTTTCCCCTCCAATAAAGGTTTTTCTTGTTTGTTTTTTTAAAGACAGAGTCTCACTCTGTCACTGAAGGGTAGTGGTATGATCATAGCTCACTGTAACCTCCAACTTCTGGGGTCAAGCAATCCTCCACCCTCAGCTTCCTGAGTAGCTAGGAATAAGTTGCACCACTATGCCCTGCTAATACAACAACAATTTAAGATAACTATTATCCCACTTTACAGAGAAGGTAATTAAGACTTTGACAGGTCACACAGTTTGTCTTAGGGTTACAAGCCTAGTAAACAGTAGAATCAGTGTCTAAACACTTGTCAGGTTCTTGGAGTCAAAAATGTGGACAGGTAGGGAAATGATTTAGACAAAGAAAATGCAAAGGACCTGGGACAAAATGTACTGATCCTAGGAGAGTGAGAGCAAGTGTGATGGTAAGGAGAAAAGAGTGGTGGTCATTTACCACAACCAAGGATTCAGGACTAGGAGAAAAAAGAATGGTGCTGTCACCACTAGAAATAAGCTGAGGAGGAGTTTAGAGGAGAAAGGTAGTAGGCTACGTATGGAATTGGAATTGGAAAATAGAAAACCCAAACGGAAAAACCAGTGAGCCTGCAATGACTAGACAGAAAACAGATACTGGTTGCAGATTCATGAGTGCATATTCATTTAGGCATATGGGAGAAGTTTTGCACTGTTAGTTCCATAGTTAGTTCCAATGAAGAGCAGAGGCTAAAAATAGTAAGTGGGAGCAGCACTGTGCTCTGATTAGAACACAGAACTTATTCGGGTGTGGTGGCTCACATCTGTAATCCCAGCACTTTGGGAGGTGGAGGCGAGAGAATTGCATGAGCTCAATAATTCTATAGATTAGCCTATAGAATCCCCAGGGGTTCGAGGCCAGTGGCAACTTGGCAAGACCTTCTCTCTACAATAAACCCAAAAATTCGCTGGGTGTGGTAGCAAATGCCTGTAGTTCTAGCTATGTGCCACTTGCACTCTAGCCTGGGTGACAGAGTGAGACCTAAAAAATAAAAAAGAACCTGGGAAAGCAAATATGTAAGAAGAGTGGACTAGAAATTTGGTTTGGTTTGAATTCAGGCCTGCCATTACCTTCAAGTGTATCCTTGGACAAGTTATTTCACATAGCTAAAACTCTATTTCCATAAATATTTATACAATGACAGTGTTGGACTACCGATCTCTTTCAGCTGTAGTAGTCTGGTTTCACATCAATAGATAATTTTCTTTCTTTTTTTGAGTCGGGGTCTCACTTTGTCACCCAGGCCTGAGTGCAGAAGCATAATCATGGCTCACCACGGCCTTGACCTTGTGGACTCAGGCGATCCTCCTGTTTCAGCCTTCCAAGTAGCTGGTAATTACCAGCTAATAATTACTAATTGATAACCAGATTTTTGTTTTATTTTTTGAGTTTAAGTCTCAGTCACACAGGTTGGAGTGCAGTGGCACGCTCCTGGCCACTGCAGCCTCGACCTGCTGAGCTCAGGTGATCCTTCTACTTCAGCCTCCCAAGTAGCTGGAAGTGCACAAGACTAGCCTATAGAATCCCCAGAATCGGCTGGGCGTGGTGGCTCAGCCTGTAATCCCAGCATTTTGGGCACTTGCCACCACACCTGGCTAATTTTTAAATTTATTGTAGAGATGAGGTCTCACCTCGTTGCCCAGGCTGGTCTTGAATGCCTGGGCTCAGACAATTCTCTTGCCTCTGCCCCCCAAAGTGCTGAGATTACAGGTGTGAGTCACTGTGCCTGCTCGATAACCAGTTTTTTAAGGTAACTGGTACAGATTTATAAAGGTCTTTTATCAGGCTGATTACAGGCTGAGCTCACCGTGCCCAGCCGATTCTGGGGATTCTATAGGTTAGTCTCGTGCACAAGGATGCCTACAATCTCTGTGGATGACATCTAGCATTCCTCCTCATCACATTAGATTATCATCAAGTATTATCAGTATCCATCTCCAAAACAGGTTGTGAGCTCCTGAAAAGCAAGGACCTTATCACCGAGGAAACATCAATTTCTGATGATTGAATAAATAGACTATAATATAATATAATCATTTGGGGCCAGTACGGTGGCTCAGCCTGCAATCCCCAGCACTTTGGGAGGCCGAGGCGAGAGGACTGCCTGAGCCCAGGGGTTCGAGACCAGCCTGGGCAACTTGGTGAGACCTCGTCTCTACAATAAATCACAAAAAGTAGCATGGCGTAGTGGTGTGGGTCTGTAGTTCTAGCTACTTGGAAGGCTGAGGTAGAAGGATTACCGGAGCCCAGCAGGTCGACACTGTGCCACTGCACTCCAGCCTGGGCGACAGAGTGAGACTCCAACTCAAAAAAAAAAATAGTAAGCCAGGCAGGGTGGCTCATGCCTGTAATCCCAGCACTCTGGGAGGCGGAGGCAAGAGCCTTGAGAGCCACAGGCTGTGTTCGAGACCAGCCTGGGCAATACGGCAAGACCTCATCTCTACAATCAATAAAAAAATTAGCTGGGTGTGGTAGTGGATGCCTGTAGTTCTAGCTACTTGGAAGGTTGAAGAGGAGAATCACCTGAGTCCAGCAGGTCAAGGCTGCAGTGGCTATGAGCATGCCACTGCACTCCAGCTTGGGCGACAGTGAGACTTCTACTAAAAAAATTAATAATAATAAAATTAATACATGAATGGGCAGGCGCAGTGGCTCATGTCAGTAATCCCAGTACTTTGGGAGGTGGAGACGAGAGGAATGCCTGAGCCCAGGGGCAACTTGGAGAGATCACGTTTCTACAATAAATCAAAAAATTAGCCCAGCATGGTGGCATGCGCCTGTGGGTCCAGCTATTTGGAAGGCTGAAGCAGAAGGATCGTCTGAGCCCGGCAGGTCGAAGCTGTGGTGGCGGTGAGCATGCCACTGCATTCCAGCCAGGGTGACAGAGTGAGACTCTGACTCAAAACCAAACCAAACAAAAATAATAATAAATGTGACAGGCATGGTGGCTCATGCCTGTAATCCTAGCATTTCAGGAGGCCAAGGCAGGATTGTTTGAGCCCAGGAGTTCAGGAGTTTAAGACCAAGCTGGGCAACACAATGAGACCCTGTTTCTTTTCTTTTTTTTCTTTTTTTGAGTTGGAGTCTCACTCTGTCGCCCAGATGAGTGCAGTGGCCGCTCCCAGCCACTGCAGCCTCGACCTGCTGGGCTCCACCTCAGCCTTCCAAGTAGCTGGAACTACAGGCGTGCGCTACCACACCCAGCTAATT